GTGACCTGAGATGACATGATGTGAATTGGAGCTATAGAAATAAACTGAATAGAATTGAATTGAATTTACTGATACTGTTTTATACAAAACGAACTTTCCATGCATCCAGCTTATAACAGTGAAATGAACATTGACATTTATAGAGTGCTGCTGTGATAAAGAATGTAAACAGTGTATGAGAAAAGGAAAACCAGTTATAATGGGCTGAGGGTGTGAGGTGTAAACAGCCCCTGTTGGTCCGTCTGTGTCGTCCTTCTGAGTAGAGCGGCTCTTTCTTCAAACCAAGCAGGAAGTTCGAGGTTTTTGAGGCTCCTCCCTGTCAGTAGATTGAAGTGTGGCGTTGTTGTTTTTTTCAGGTGCAGCCGCTCTGATCAAGCTGCTGCAGCCTCCTGTGATAGCCGCTCCTCTGGGCCACGATGTCCTCCTTCCCTGTGAACTCCAAGCTTCCCAGGATGTGAAGATAACAAACACGCCTGTGCTTTACTGGACGGCTGCAGGAGATCGGACCTTAGAAGTTGACCGTAACTCTTCTAACTACTCCCATGTGTTGAAGAAGGTGCAGTGGTCTGACAGCGGCCCGTATCAGTGCAAAATGTCCATCAAAACCAGCAGTGAAGAAAGTTTCCGGCTGAAGGGAACCAACACCACGCTGGTCATCTACGGTAGATTCCCTTTTCTTTGCTGTCAAACCGATCAAATGACCTCATTTGGTTCTATCAACAGGGACTTTATGTAGAACTAAAGTAAACAGAAGAGAAACGTCTTTTTTAACATTAGTTTGTGCAGCGGTGGACGAAGTACTGAACAGTAGTACTTGAGTAAAAGTACTGATACTCATAGTCAAGTTTTACTCTACTACAAAAGTCACTCAGTCAAACATCTACAAGTTAAACTATTAAAGTTCTCACTTTTGAAAAGTATTAAAAAATACAAATTCAGTTTCTAATAGCAGAACATTTCTGTCTAATTTTCATTAAAGTCATTTTAAAGGAAAAGTCGGTCAGCAGGAAAAATCAATGGATCATTATTTAGACCTAAAACTAAATCGTTCGCAGTGATTTAATGAATTTAGCTTCAATCAGTAAA